CTATCAATTTTGGAAACGTGGGAGAATATACAGGTGTGTAACAGTTTTGTCTCTCCAGATGAGAGCTAATTTACCGAGTCAGGAGTTTAATGTCACCCAAGCCATTTCACCCAAAACTTTTAACATGATTCCTGCTCCAGACCTAACCATCCTTATCACCAGTGCTGCCTTTATTATAGGATTGATAAGTTAAGACAAAGCTGACAAGATTGACCTGTTTCAGATGTGTCTGCTAAATCAGGTCCACTTAGAGAAACCCTGTTTTAGGCAGGACTTACGGGGCCTGGCCCTCCACTTCTCGAGAGCTCAGACTTTCAGGGTTGACATTTATTTATTCATTGTTCTCAAAACCTACACAGAACTATCAGATGCGGCACATTCTTTTGAATAGCCTCAATGAGTATCCGACAGTGTAGAATAATAAATGGCCTCCTGAGGTGGCTGTCTTGAAGGGAATGACTTGAGACATGTTAGCTGTCATCCTCGTTGACGGCAGTCATACTTTAAAACTGACCTGTGCACAGGAGCCCAGGCTGGATGAGCAGGAGCCCCAAATCATCAAAACACTTTCCTCATTCTGACCTTTTGGAGCAAGGGCTGATGACTGTGAGAGGAAAGACTAGGCATTGCAGAGAACCCAGAGTGTGTCAGAATGGAGGGCTGAAAATGAGGGTCCATCAAGCCAGTTCTTTAAGAATTAGTTCTGGGAGGGATTGGCAGACCTTGGCCTTCTCCCCACACTTCAGAAGGGAGAATTACAACCCAGCGAGTGCCAGCTGCTTACCCAGAGACACATAGCTTCAGATCTAGATGCGTCACAGTGTCTTCTGCATCCTCTACTGGGGACCATGGGGCAAGAGCCCCTAATCCAGACTGGGTACCTCATGGGAACTTGCTTCTGTCTTAAAGATTGCTTGTGGAAACCTCCCTTCCCTGATTCCTCCAAACCCACATTCCCCAGAAACTGCACAGTCACTCCAGCGCGTTACCTTGAACGTGGCAGCCACGTTGGTAAAGTTCGCAATGCTGCCTCCAATGATGAGGATCTTGCCTGGGTTTGCAGTAAGAGGGAAGTGAAAAGGGTTAGAAAGGTAGACTTGAGCATCTCACCAGAAAGCCAACTGAGAGTTCTCTCCTCTGAGCAAGGATCCCCCAACTGTTAGGAGGTATCAGTGCAGAGTCAGGAGGAGCAGGCTGGTCTCTCGCGATGTCTATCAGTTTTATCAGCTCCACTCTCTATTACCTATACCACTGAGCAGGGGATTAATCTGAACCCACAGAATCTCTAGGCCATTCCTAGCTTGGTTCCTGAATACACCTGGTGGGAATCTCTATCTGATGTCAGGGAAGGGAACTGGTATGTATAGTCTGCAAACACTGCACCAGTGGTAAAGGGAAGCTGGAATTGCACAGCCAGGTAACAAATATTGAAGTAGGCCTCTGAGAACTGAGTTTATAGCAGTCAGAGTGAGAGCACACCTCATCTCCTCCCTCGCACCTGCTTATAGGGCTTTTTGTACATATCACTCCTTGTCAGAGCCCCACATCTGACAGATGCTGTCACTGCCCACTGCGTAGTCAGGAAAGCTGCGGTCTAAACGTTAAATGACTATCCCCAGGTTGTAAAGGACCAGGACCACAACCTCGGTGCCTCCCAGGCCAAAACTTCCCCCTGTAGAATGCTGGGCCGTCCTGGGGAAGGAGAGTGTGTGTCTCACCATCTGGGTGCTTCTCGCGGGTCATGAGGGAGAGGATCGTCTTGGCATAGTCATAGGTCTGCTGCTCGCTGGGGGCACCCGAGTACTCCCCATAGTTCGCCAGCTCATTGACACCCCCTAGGTCACAGATGGTATCACTGCCAGGGAGACAGGGAAATCAGTGCTGACTTCATTTCTAATAGCAGAGGGTGGCAGCCTGGTGACTGGAAGGACACACAGACACCCCCAAAGCCCTGAAGTCAGACCCTCAAGCCCCATACGAGTCACATGCGAAGGTTAACTGTGCTGCATCACTCTCCCAGGCAGTGCACTCTGCCACCCCTAAGCCATCGTGGGGTCCTGGACTGACCAACGATGGTAGGTGAAATGAACAAAGAGCACCCCCCAACAGACAACCCAGGAGTCCCTGCCAGGTGAATGGAGAAAGACAATTGCTGCAGCCAGAGGGAAGCATAGAAAAGGATGTGGCCAATCACAGGCCTAGAAACGAGCAGACGTCTACTGTGCTTTAAGTGGAATACCATCAATTATCACAAAAGGTATAGAATAAGATCCAAATATTTCTATAAATTGCAAAAGCATATTTCTACAGGCGCTAAAATGTCTGGAAAGACACACGGCAAAGTGTTCATTGCGGTGACCTGGTGGGAGGAAGGGTGGGGACACAGCAGCATTCACTTTCTGATTCATTTTCTGTATTTTTGTACCTTCATGTAGAGCATATATCACTAATTATAAGAACCAAAACTAATAGAAATAACTTCATTTTGAAGTAAATAGGAAGGTGCAGGCCCTCACTAGAGCCTCTTAGATCCCTCTGGTATGTCCCATGACTCCTGCTCTGCACCAAAGTAAGAAACTGGAGATCCCCAGAGGTGAAGCAGCTTGATCCAGGGCACGCATATGCGGACCCTGGGTAAAACCGACTGGCAGCCCTTCAGCAGCCCCTTCAGTCACCTGTACACGACTGAGGCACCACCCCCAGCCACCATGGTCCAGATCCTCCCCTTGGGGTTCAGCAAGGTCAGCTTCAGGCTTGCTCCACTTTTGGCATCCAGGTCTGCAATGTAGGCTTCCTAGGGACGACACAACAAGTGGGCCCTGGGGGCATCCCTTTCACCAGGTCCCAGGTCTCAGGCCCCCTCCCTTCCCCTTTCCCTGGAGACACGTGAAGAGGTCCTTAACAGCCTTAGTAAAGCCAGGGAGAAGGGGCTGCGTGGGGTCTTATGTGCCTGGGACAAAATATAATGGCATCTTTAAGTACCAAAACCACGCATGGCCACAGTCACCAACTACAGACAAATTTCCCAATTCCTTTCTCTCCAACTTCAAATTCTTGGCCTTCTGCCTAAGTCCCAAGCTTCACTATGTCACTGCTTCGACAACAGCCCCTGCTCCCAGCATCTGCCTGCCTAGATTATCACAAGACCCTTCTCCGCCCCTAGGTCCTACCCCTTCTCCTAGTCCAGCCTCTTCCCTTGGTCTGGGTTACCTATGCAGGCCTGATTCTGTTGTGAGGACCTCTCTGAAGATGAGGTGGGAAGAAATAATTAAAATTCTCAGCAGGTGGCAGAGAGAACTACCTCCGACACAGAAATCGGTGAAGCTACTTGGAATTATCAAGAAGCAAGAAATCAAGTTAAGAGCTCAGGGAGGTTGATTGAGAGAGAAGTCTAAAAGGATTTCTGGCCAGGATTCAGAGGCTTGGCTGACTCCCACCCCCACCCCCTGTGGGGTTTTTAAAAAATTAAATGATCCTCAGCCTGCCTTTCTCTGCCAAATACAGCCTACGAGGGGGACATTAGAGATCAGTCACCCCTCTGCACCTCCACCCCTCTCCACGTCCTTCCCAAACCAGCCTTACCTCTGGATAAGCCTCACGCCCAAAGGGGGGAGGGAACTCTATATCGCCCCACTTCACTTTGCAGATGTAATCGGCAGTGGCATCTACCTTAGCCGCCAAGTCAAGAATGTAGACGCCATCTTTGGTCACAACTGTGAGAAAAGCAGAGGCAATCAGACACTAGCCCCAGACAAAGGGGATCACCAACCTCCAAACCCCTCTACAGACTTCCCCACACACCACTCCCATGGAGTCCGGGGCCCACACAGGCCTATAACTCTCTCCCTTGGCAAGAAACCTGAATGATTCTTATGGAGCCGCAGCTTTCCCCACATCAAAGGAAAGACAAATCTTAGAAGACAAGTTCCCCCTCCCTGAGCTACAGGTAATATAACAGGGAAGTCTGTTTCAGTTGCTATAGCAATTTGTAAACATTTTCATAAAATGCTACACACTTTCTCTTAAATATCTAACCATTCACTCATTCATGGCCCAAGCATTAAAAAATGGGAAAGGTGCAGGTTGCTGCCAGAAGACTCCCCTAGGTGTACACATATGCATGCACATTCACATTTCCTGGGGTCCAGCTGGGGTAAGCTCATTGCTGGGGGGAGTGGGAGGCCATGGGGTGCACTGGGCTCCCAGCCAGCAGGATTCATTTACTGCCGCCTCACTGTACATCCATCTTCCCTTTCCCCTAGGGCCATTTAGCTAATTAAGTTAGCACAGAGCCATCTGGTCCATTAGAGGGGCTGCGTCCCCAGCTGTAACCTAGAATCAGGACTTTGCCCTGAGAAGCCTTAGCCAGAACCAACCCATACCACCTGCCTCCTTCTCTGCCTGAGAGGCTTGGGCCAAGGCTTCCTGGCTTGGGGGTTGCTCCATTATTTTTCTGGAATATTCCCTTTCGACAGGTCTCCAGGCATCAGCATGCCTTCTTTGTCATCTGAGAATATCCCAGCATTCAGTCCTGCTCTGCATTAAGGCGGCGTTCAAAAATCGCTGTGTTTTATTACTGTTATCAGTTCCTAGTCAAGGCGGGTGAAGGTCATGATTACTTACTAATAAATGAGTTACTAATAAAAATGAAATTATCCCTACATGGAAAAATACATACACGCATATATACGTACATATGTATATACGTGTGTATACACCCATGTACGTTTGTTACATGTATATTACATATAGTTCGTCAATATGTTACAAGGCCCTATAGTCCTATGTAAACCGCGA